AGGAGTTGGTTAGAAGTAGGAGTCCTATTAGGAGTTAGGGTTTAGAAACCCTATAAATAGCTATGTATTCCTCCTCTTTTTATAAGCAATAGATGAATCTTTTCTGCAGCCTTTAAGCAGCAACTTGGAGGGAGGAACTCCTATAGAGCTCCAAGGAGGTCGATCCCCTAAAGAGATCAACCCCAAGTTTAGAATCTGCAAGGGTTCTAATAGGACGCCACCGCCGACGCGGCCTGCTCCATCCGTTTCCCCGAGTTGGACAGCACTAAAGCCGGGGCAGAGAACACCGAGGCAATCAGAGAGATGGAGCCAAGGCTGGTGGATCCGAATTGGAGGTACTTCAGTGCCTTCCATTTTTATAGATAAACAGTATTATTTACAATGATAATTATATAATTATCTTCATATTATCGAATATCAATAAATTTAGATGATGATCATGCTGAATCAATAATTCAGTTATTTTTAAAATTGATAGTTTCAGCCATAAAGTATTTACCTCGATTTTTAATTTTCATCAATAACATTAGAATAATCTTTTTTATTTATAATATTTTTATTTTTAATAGAATAATTTCCTTTTGATTTACACCATTCTTTGAAAAAAAAATTCTTGTTTGATATTAGCATCATCTTTCTTCTTTTTATCATTATCATTACCTTTTTATTATTTATAAAAAGAATATTTTCATCTCCCCAAAAATAAAAGCTTCTGTCATTTATCGAGTTAAAGATTCTTGAGAAACGTAATATAAGGAATATAATCTTTTGGAATACCATGAATAATATAATCTTTCATTCGAGCATCATTTTTAATCTTCAAAGAATATTAAGAAATATAGAAATCACCTTGGATAATATTTGCCAAATCAATCTCCAAATACTGAAGCTAAATCATATTCTTTTTTGTTGAGCAATACATCAAGATAAATCTTTGAAGCTGATGTACAACAAATAATGTGCTTAAAAAGATCATGAGAAATAGATCTTTTTAATATAAATTTAGCTTTTGTATTTAAAGTCCTCCATCTCTTCGTGATGTCGGTTAAATTGCTACCAACCACATTCTATAGATCTTCTCCTATGAGATAAGAATCCAAACAAGTCCTTCAAATCTTGTAATCATACTAATTGAGAAATTCAATACTAAATCTACTAACTTAACTATATTATTTCATAATCGAAAAATATTATCTTCCTCACCGAAAAGATCTTGAAAATACATATTATCATCCTTATGACTCTAATACCATGTGAAGAAAGGAAGAATCACATGTAAGTGTAACCCTTTCTCAAATAATAGTAACAAAGTACTATTAGCTTAAGATCAAATCAAATAGAAAAATAAAATCAAGGCAAAAAAAAATTTTATTGAACATCTAAAATAAAAAAATCACTTGATCTCGAATGACTTTGAGACTTGACTTGAACAATTGAGACTTAAATTAATCTATATACTACCTATTTATAGATGTAAAATACAAGAGTCTCTAATATCTACGACTCTATTTAATCTTATTTAAAATTAAAAAAAAATTATTCATAAAATTCTATTTAATTTTATTTAAATAAAAATAAAATTTTAATTTATTTTAACTTCGTAACCAGAATCAGGTCAAAGAAGAACGACCCAAAGAAGCGTTGACCCTGTTTTCGTTCACTGCTTAACTGGCTTCCTTCTTTCGTGCCTTTTCAAGCAAGTCAACTAGCAGGGCCCAGCAAAGCCAACGTAGGTCCCGCGAAAGACTCCGTGTGAGTCGGCTTTAAATTGAGAGCCATCTTCTACCTCCTTTCTAGGTAGCATAGGGAGATCCAGGACAAGAATAGTGATGATGGAAGAAGGGAATAAACGACAATGACGAGTATTAGAACTATTGAATTTCACCTAATTCATTCGTGGTTTAAAGGTAGTGTGATCGGATGAATGTTGTTGTGATTCAGTGTTAGGCAATTACGATTTTGAGGAGTAATAATATGATGGCTATTGTTGGTTTTACAAATGGAGCAAGTCAATTTTATTTTATCATAACCCAATAATTTTTTAGCACAACCCTTATGTGATTGGATGTGAGATTCGCAATTTAATTGGATTAAGGTTTAGATCCATATTTGATTCATGAAGCTTGTTATTTACTCAACAAGTCATTTAAATAGTGTTGAGAATCACAAGTTAATTAGATTGAGTTTTATCCACATATAATCGATTATGTTTGAGATTTATTCAACTACAATATTCTTTTAGAAAGTGTTATAAATGTGAATACAATACAATTATATTTGACAAGTCGAGTTATCTATCAATTCCAATCGAGGTACTACTATTGAGTCTTACCTGATTCGTGGTCTAAATCTTATGAACTCAAATCACATTTATTGGATTAAAATTATGGATTCTTATCTGTTGTGACCAGTATGATGAAGTTAAATATAATACTGATGTTGAGGTTCATTAAAATATTCTTTTAATGATGATGATGATCATGATGTATATGTTTGGAATCCTATAAATCATTAAAATTTCATAAGATACTCGATATGGTCTAGTGATTTGAGTAATACTATTGTCATGATGGTGATATAGAGTTACTAACAACGAAATAAAATATTTTTACTTGTCACAAATGACGATGTTCTCAAAATTGCTTTAAATTGTTTACATTATGGATGAAAGCATCAAGTATTATTAGGATCGTAAATCATTCTTTATTGACTGTGGGTGAACTTCGGGTATATAAGTTTTTGGCATATGAAAACTTGGTAATTCGGGATCTAATTTAGATTGTTTTGTTCCTCTTAACTTGCTCTAACTATAATTTCTGAGTCTTGACTGCTATAGAATTGATCTCTTTTGTAATATCAAGAAGGCGTATTATTGCATCGCCTTCAAAAGTTTGTTTATTCTGTGGTAGTATTCAAGCAAAAGTTGTCACGTCCACTGAAATTACTCGATTGTTTGCATCGACTCCACTCAACTACCAAACTGGCCTTTCTTGTCATGCTCTCTCTCCAAAACGATGGGAGTGCAATGCTCAGCTTGAAGGATTCACTTGAATCGCCTATGCAAATTGGTACGAATCATTCAATCAACCAATCGCATGATTTGCTGCTGATGACTTCTTCCGGGTAATCGTCTCTTGTGGACTCGAAGACTCGAAAGATAAGGCGACACCTGGTGGTAGAGACGACTCACTCGGTCAAGGGCGGCGGCGGCTTCTTTTCTCCCCTCCAGATTGCTTGTTTACGGAGGTTTGATTCTTCCAAGACTCGTAGGTGAAATCACATTCAACGCGGAAAATTTCCTTGTAGACAGACTCGGCCAAGTTTGACCTCTCTTGTGTTTATTTTATTCCGATTAAAAAATATTTATTTTTTATTATTATTTTATAAGTTTTTTTCATCTTTCTTTCGATAGAGTATTTTTTATTTTTTTTTAAATATAAGATTATTTTTTATGATCGATTATCGTTATCTTTTTTTTTCGAGTGAGTATCGTCGTTAATCATCACCTTCGTCCCACTATGATATCCTTGTTTATAGACTTTCCGAATAAATGTTAAGCATTCAAGACCTAAGAACCAACAATGTGAAAGAGGAGCGGACATTGGTCCTCTAGCAGAGTATTCCGATCTCGATCTTATTCCAAAGGATTTACTCATTGTTGTTTCATCGTCACAATCTTTGTTGGCCAGCCAACCGAACATGCCAACAACGTTGTGAGATCAAACGGAGGTCAATGTAAAATTGAAGACAGAGACAAAGATAGAAACAAAACAGGAGAGTGAGGGAGAGGAATAATAAGGATAATTATAGAGGGAGATATGATCTCAAAAGTGACTATGATAAGACCAGACGATTAGGAAGGATCGAAGGACAATGTAAAATGATAAAGGTGGTAAAAAAGAATGCTCGGTAAAAATAAAATAAAATAAAAACGATGCTACGAGAAAATAATAAAACTTTTAAGTTTGTTTGAAGAATTTTATCCTAAAAATCAATACTTGATGGCGTGTTTCGCCTTCTCTTTTCCTATCCACCGTGCAATTATTGCTAGGTTTGACCAGCAGCGCATGCACCACCGTCTTTCATTTGCTTCACATGTTCTTCTAATCTTCTTGGCCATCTCTTCCCTCAAATCTTCCTATCTGTTGTGGTGTCATCTTTAAATTACGGATAAGGATCATCAAGAGAAGGAATCATCCTCGACGACACACATATCGGAGGCAAAGGGACCGGTGGTGGGTGGAGTAATTGAGTGGCGAGAGAAGAGTTGAAACGAGAAGAGGATCGTGGTGGAGTACATGGAGACGGTGCAGGAGGAGGTGGAGTATAGCTGGAGGGAGGTGGTGTTGCCGGCGCTGATTCCGGTGGTGCAGGAGCCGGTGGAGCTGGACCGGGAGACCGGGGAGCGGCGGCGCGGCCGAGACATCGTGGTGGCGGTGGACCACGGCCCCAACAGCCGCCACGCCCTCCACTGGGCCCTCGTCCACCTCTGCCGCCTCGCCGACACCCTCCACTTCGTCCATGCAGTTTCCAGTACTACTCTTTGCCCTCTCTCTTCTCGTCTTTCCTTTTTCTTCTCCTCACCAAAATCTGTGCAAAACGTGGACAGGCGTACAGAATGAGGTGGTGTACGAGGCTAGCCAGCAGCTAATGGAGACGCTCGCCGTCGAGGCCTTCCAGATCGCCATGGTATCACGCTATCATCCTTCGAATAGCCTTAGCAACGGTATCCATCAATCAATCGGTATCACTAATTGGTGGTGGCGATGGCAGGTGAGATCGCAGGCTCGCATCGTGGAAGGTGATGCCGGGATGGTGATATGTCGGGAGGCGGAGAGATTAAAACCGGCGGCCGTCGTCATGGGAACCCGTGGCCGGAATCTTATGCAAAGGTATTCTCTTCGGTTACCTCAATCCAAGCGGTCTGACTTGCCTGAGATCTATAAAAGCCCAAACAGAACTTTAATCCTTATTCACCGAGAAGACGACTGTTCAATTTGTATGAAAGGTCATGCTGGCTAAGGGGAGGTTGTGATGTCTTTTCCTGTCTTCATGTTGCAGTGTACTGCGGGGTAGCGTCGGCGAGTACTGTTTCCACCATTGTAAAGCAGCACCAGTTATCATCGTCCCCGGGAAAGGTTGACTGACAATGTTCTTTAAAGCATCAAGTTTGTTCACGAAAGCAACATTTGATGTTTTGGGGTTTCTCTACGGAGGAACTGATGTTTCTTTTTGGCCTTCGCAGACGCTGGCGATCGGTCTGTGCTTTGATGGGCGATAAATACAGCAGGATTGCAGCGGTTGCAGGGATTTATAGTAGCTACTATTGCTTGTGCTTCTTCCTGTCAATTTTACGGTGTGCAACTAAAATTTGTAGCCAGTACTGGTGATGTCTGTGGGATCTCGACAGTTCCATGTTTGGTCGACTGTAATAGCAATGTACCATAAGATTTTACTGTATTTGATCTGATGGGATTTTAATACATAAAAATTACAAGTAACAAGGGATAAATTTTGTCAACCAGCACAACGATTATAGATGATTTCCTGTAACAGTTCAACGAGAGGATTCGGCCAATGAATTAATTATTCATGCATTTTAGGCAAATGTTTACCATCATTAAAACAAATAGCCCTAAGGCTATAAAAAGTTGCTACTCAGAAACATCCAGACATCCATATCGAAGACCTAGAAACCGATGATCCGCATGCAACCACAACTGATGCAAATTAACCTCATGTCAGGTTAGATTAACCTCTACCGCGACTTGCCACCTCTCCTTGTCGGAGATTTCTGACGACGGATCGATTGAGCTGCCAGGAGTGCAACCCTGATGGGCTCTGATGGAGCCAAGCCCTGCGATTGCATGCAATCATATATCCTCTTTGCATCTTCCAAGAGTCCACCTGCCAGGAGACCGCTTATGATCCTCTCAAGCTGATCAGCACGCAACAATTTGCTCCTGGCCTCCAGAATCTTAAGAGACTTGCGAGCCTTCTCCAGCTGGTGTGCCCTCGAGTACATGTCGCAGAGGCTAACATGAATCTCAAATGGAGCTTCGCCCTTCTCTGCTAGTTTGCTCAACAGCCCTTCTGCCTCGTCCACTAGCTGTAACCTGCCCAACCAATCCACCAGAATACTGTATGTTGCTATCCCCGGTTGGAAACCATCCTTCTCAAGAGTTAGCAGCAGGTCCAAGGCCTTGTCCAAGAGGTTCTTCTTCACATAGGCTGCCATCATGCTAGCAGTGCATCGGTCATCTGGCTTATGGCCAGACCTAATCATGTGATCAAAGTGACCCCGAGCCTGGTCAGGATCGCCTGACTGCCCATAGGCCTCCACGAGCAAGGTAAATGACTCCAAGGTTGGCTGGATTCCTGCAAACTGCATGGTGTTCATAATTCTCTGTGCTCCGTCAACTTGCCCAAGCTTTGTAAATGCTCTCAGCAGCTCCATGTATATTTCCTTTGTGGGTTTAATATCTCTCGACTCCATTTCCCTCACCAGCATCTCCCCTTGTTTTGGAAGGCCAGCCTTCACATAAGCTGTAATCATTGAATTGTACACCTTCAGGTCCGGTTGGAAACCTTCCTTCCTCAAGCTTTCAAAGGCATCTTTAGCACGATCAAGATCTCCTGCCTTGCTATACATATGAACTAATATAAGAAAAGTTAGAATATCTGGCATGATGCCCCTTCCGGTCATCACCTCAAGAATTCTCTCAGCATCTTCCATGTGATCTGCCTTGGAGTGTGCATCAATTAGCTTTGAGTAATCACGAATATTTGTCTCGAAAGATTCCTCAGACAAGAGGAGTTCAGCAACCTGCAATGTTAGGTAAATTGCAAGACATACATCAGTAGACTTACATCTAAAACGTGATGTGAAGCATGCAAATGGGGCACTAAACAAGGTTCAGAAACTAAAAACAGAACATACTTAAGGGTCGGATGTTGTTGGTTCTTCCTTTTACATGATAGGAGTAACTTGATTACTTACTGATTAAGCTAGACATCAAGTTGATGAAATATGCAAACCATGAGATGCCACTGCTCTAACTCATTCATAGCATCTAGATTGTACAGGATGGTCATTTGCAGATATACATATGTAACCAAACCATAAAAACTGTCTCCAGATAACCTGAAGATCAACCATATGCAGGGCTGAGGTGATAAAAAAACCAATTCATTGACAAATGAGGAGTTAACCTCGGAGAAGCCGAAAGACTATGTTTTTAAGATTAATTTCTAACATTTTCGGCATCCCTACAAATATCTACCAACACTGAATGTGAAGAAAGAATACCATCATTAATGAAGAATGGTAACTTGATCACTGGTTAACAACAGGGAGGGAGGGGAGGTTAAAGCAACAAAATAGTATCAGATTACCTAATAAATTGAATAAAATTAGGCGATGCTGTCATACCGGATCAGCTATGGATATGCTATAGGAAGTTTATGCTGATCCTCATTATCAAGTCTGCAGTTCTTAAAGGCCCGAAAGAACAATATTTTAGAACTAATCAGCAAACTGTCAGCTTTGGTTGTATTTGATTTGGTCAGTCAGTTATTGATGCTTAAATATCACCCTTCAGACACATAATTATCTGGAAATAATCAATGTTCGAAAGAAAAATGTATTCTTTAAGTATAGATGTGCTAGTTCACCACTGATAGGTCCATCAGGTCTAATAAATAAATAAACCGAAACCTTTGAATATTAAATTCTGTGAAATGCAGCAGGTCATTCCTATAATCTTCCTTTTCTCTTCATTTCTGCATTTAGTTTCCTCTTGACATGTAAGTTTTTTCTCTCTATTTCCCATGCCAGACACTATATTCTAGAGCAGCAAACCTAATTATGTTTATTGGATCAGTCCACTTCTTGAGTCAAAAACCTCAAACTCAACCTCTGTATTAACAGGTATTCTCAACATGTATTTCCGAATAAATGCTCCGTTAAATGTTTTAATTGCACATTGCTGAATAAAATACAGAAATTAAATGAATGCAGGCTATAATGATGCTAAAATCATGCCTCAACTATGAGGATGAACGAAATTATAAAAGAAATGTTGCTGCAACTCTATCGATCACGTAACTTGTCCTCCACAAATTCCCAAATGGATATAGCACCCTAAATGAATACATTATGTGAATGCAAAACTCAATCTCAACTTCCATCGACAAAGGGAAGACAGGAAGATACTTCAATATCATTCTTTATGAAATTTTTAACTAAATCAGCCTACAAACAACTGCCTAGAAACATAGTAGTAAAATAATATTCTCTTGATTGAGCTAATCCTCCAACAAGTGTACTATGTTGAATCTCGGATTTTGATGATGAAATCAATTGATGAATTTACGATCTAATCCATGTTTTGAGAAAAGTAACGCAGGACTAACTTCGATTATGAAAAGGCAAAACAATTAAAGCAAAAGAATCATAAGTTGGGCCGGAATTAGAGATCGAGCATCGGGCCAAAAGAATCGGACATTACGGGAGTCAACATGCCGATGGATTAGGCGATACGCCAAAGGTCGGGCAATGCGTCGGAAGTTCAATGGAAGTTCGCCGGGAGCTCGGATGAACAAATGACAAGCTGGACAACTTAGATTTACTGTTTTGTAATTGTTTAAGTTAGGTCTTAATTTGAGTTAGGTTTGGGTATAACCCTACTAACTCAATTAGGGGCCAACTAGGCCCAAATTAGGGCTGAATTGGGCCTGCTATTTAACCTATTCAGTGACCCAGAGCCACGTCAGGCGGTGGCACCGCCAGCCCTAGCAGTGCCATCGCTTGAGGCTCGGCCTCCCAGGTATTGTCTGGGCGATAGTACCGCCAGTAGTTAGTGCTGTCAAGCGATGGTACCGCCAGAGCTCAATCTCCGAGGCTCTCTCAGGCGATCGTACCGCTCAGACCGGCAGTAGTACCACCAGTTGTCAGAGCAGCAGGCAGTGGTACTGTCAATACCCCGAAAACCCGAAATAAGATACTTTTTGGCTCTATTTTTTAAGTCATTTAGGGGCTATAAATACCCCAATCTTTCCTACTTGCAAATGCACGAAATTGAGAATAAAAGTCTTAAGATTCTAAGTTGTAAAAGTCTTGAAAAAGTGCTATGTGTCCTCCTCTTCCTTAAGATTTGTGATCATTCTAAGAGATGTGTGAGAGGTTGTCTCCTAAGCCTGTGAAAAGGAGAAAAAATTGTAAGAGGATTGTTGATCTTCGCCCGTTGAAAGAAGATCGATAGTAGAAACCGATGGTCTCGACGAAGGAAGAATCGAGAGTGGACGTAAGTCACAACGACCGAACCACTATAAATCCAGTATGCTCTTTTCTTTTGTTGTTTACCTTCATTGCCTTCTTATTTAATTGTCTACTACTTTTTCATGCACTCTTACGAACGTTTTCAAGTTTAAATGCATTTTCGTTACGAGCCTTATTGAACGTAATTTCTCAAAATAGCCGAAAGTTTGCGATAGCAATAATTCACCCCCTCTCTTACTGTCATTCACGATCCTAGCAGTTGGTATCAGATCTACGTTTCTCTCCCTTTAGTTTAACACCCAAGGGAGGTGGTTTTTGCCAATAATCTAGAGGGTCACTCTATCACTCTTTCTCCTATGTTCAATGAGACAGACTACACATATTGGAAAACTCGCATAAGGATTTTTCTGATTTCTATAGATTTTGAGCTATGGAATATCATTGAAAGTGGTTTTCAAGTAAAGTTAAAGAGTCAAAAATTAATCTCTTGGTGCATAGTCATGAGTTATTTCGAATAAAACCAAGTGAGACCATTGGAGACATGTACACCCATTTTACGAATGTCGTCAATGGTTTAAAAGCACTTGATAAAAGTTTTTCTAACTTTGAACTTGTAAATAAAATACTAAGATCCCTTCCAAATAGTTGAGATCCAAAAATAACGACAATACAAGAAGCAAAGGACTTACATAATTTTCCGCTTGAAGAACTTATCGGGTTTTTAATGACCTATGAAATAACATATATAGCACATGATGAACATGAGAACAACCTTCCAAAGAACAGGAAGAACACAACACTTAAAACTAAAGAAGACAACTTGGAAGAAAACTCAAGTGATGATGATGATGATGATGGACTTGGAACTTTTTACAAGAAAATGTAAAAAATTCTTTAAAAGGAACAAAACAAAACAAGACACTAAGAACAAAAATGAACTCAAAAATGACACAATAATATGCTATGAATGCAAGAAGCCGAGGTACTTCAAAAATAAATGTCCCTAAATGAAGAAGAAGCCACCAAAGAAGAAGAAAGCACTCAAAGCGACTTGGGACAATTCGAGTGCATCCGAAGGCGAGGAGCTAACAAACAAAGACGAAGTTGCAAATTACGCTCTAATAGCGCTCAATGACGAGGTAAGTGACTCGATCGAATCTCATTTACCTTATGATGATTTACTTCGTAGCTTATGATGATTTACTGAATGCTTTTAATTATTTATAC